GGGCAGGGAGGAAGGAAGGAAGGAAGGAGGGAGAATAGGAGAGAAAATGGGAAGGGAGAGAGGGGGGCAGGGAGGAAGGAAGGAGGGAGGGAGGGAGAATAGGAGAGAAAATGGGAAGGGAGGGAGGAAGGGAGGGCAAAGGCAGCAAAGGAAGAGGAGGAAGATAGGAGGAAAGGGGAAGGGAGAAAAAGGAGAAAAAGGAAGGGAGGTGGGAGAGATGGAACAGTGTGGGGGAGAGAGGCGGAGAGGGGTGGGGGTGGGAGGAAAGAAGGAAGGAAAGAAGGAGAAAAAAGGGAAGGAGAGGGAAAGGAAAGCCTTTTCACTTGAGGAATTCACTCTTTCCCATTTCCTTCCCTAAATCCTTCCGTTTGGCTCACCTGGATTTGGGTTGTCTTGCAGGGTGACCACGTATTTCGATCGTCTTCTCAGCCCTTCCAAGAAGGTGACCACCAGGTCACGGATGTCCTCTGCGTTGTTGGATGTGAAGGTGTACTCGTCGCCTTTGATGGTCGCCAAGGTGAAACTCTGTCCCTGGAGTTTGCCTCCGCTGCGGAAAACACACGACCAAAAAGAAAAAGAAAAAATCAGCCTGGGGAGCAGACCCAACATTTTAACCCTAAAAGTCTTTTCAACTTGTTGAAAAGAAATCTACTTGGCTTCCTTGGGCAAACACAGTGTGGCTATTAGAAAAGGAATCCTGCCACTGCTGAAGGAACCAGATGTCTTCAGGTTGTGTTGTGGCCTGCCAGCGGAGCTGGAAGCAGATTCGGACAGGGAGGAGGTTGGGGAGGAAGATGGGCCAGTCCTGGAGTCTGGGGAAGGCTCGGATGAGGGCTCTGTGTCCGAGGCAGAGAGGGGGCCAGAGCCGTCGGACCGTTATCGGAGTCGGAGATCAGTGGAGCAGAAGAACAGCTGGAGCCTGTTCCCAGTGNCTGAGTCCTCCCGGAGAAGGGCGGCATACAAATAATAAAATTCTATTCTATTCTATTCTGCATTCTTGCATCTGAAAGATATCGGCCTGGCCACTCTCCAAGCCTGATAAAGGTCAGTAAGTGTGACCTATCTTGAAAGACTGTGGGAGAGGAAAGACTTTGACGGAGAGGAATTCACTGTCAATTAAATAAAAGGGGTTTATCGGGACGAGGACTCGGCTTTGTGATGCTGGGGAAGCCTGGGTTAGAACACATCCATCCATCCAATTTTGATGGCCTCCCAGTTCATCCAAGTGACTGGATGGCTTCCACCGGAAAACACCTATTTTTTTTCTGTTCAAGGGTGCGTCAGGCGATTTACCACGATGTCCGGAGGAGGCGTGGTCATCGTGGGCAGGACATAGACCGAATCGGTTGGGAAGTCTCCTTTCTGCTTGGTCCGTTCGTTGATGCCATTGGCCCAGCCAGAATTCATCACATTTTCTCCTGTGTCCTGGTCCAGAATCAGCAAATCTCCTTTCAGGAAACTGAGGAAACCGGAGTCATCGCCAGCTGGAAGGAGATGGAATTGGAAGATGTTGGGTGTGGAGGACAAGAGGAAGATCCGGATCGATCTAGAGAAGACCTCTGTGTGGTTGCCGTGACGATCTGGGCTCCAGACCAATGACCCCCTCAAGACCAAGGATGAACTAGATCAGGGGCCTCCAACTTGGCAACTTTTAGACTTGTGGACTTCAACTCCCAGAATTCCAGCAAAGCTGGCTGAGGAATTCTGGGAGTTGAAGTCCACAAGTCTTAAAGTTGCCATGGTTGGAGGCCTCTGAACTACTAACGTTCCTCAACATTGGCAGCTTTAAGAGACGTGGACTTCAACTCCCAGAATTCCCCAGCCAGCTGCGGATAGTTGTCAAGTTATGACTGTAACTGAGCTCAAAATTATGCTCGTAAGTTGCAGTGATTGTTAAAAAGATCACCGTGTGAACATCAATTGTACAATTTTTTTTTTTTGGGTGATCATGAAATGAATCACTGTGGGTATTAAGCGAATGCAGAGATCGGTGAGCAGATCTATTATCCAAATAGGGGAAAAGGAAAGGAGGGAGGGAAGGAGGGAGGGAGAAAGGAAGGAAGGAAAAAGAGAAAGGAGAGAGAGACAGAGAGAGAGAAAGGAAGGAGATAGGAGAAAGAACAGGAAGGAAGGGTGAATAGGAGAGAAAATGGGAAGGAAGGAAGGGAGGGAGGAAGGAGGGAGGGAGGCAGGGAGAATAGGAGAGAAAATGGGAAGGAAGGGAGGGAGGGAGGAAGGAATAGCAATAGCAGTAATAGCAGTTAGACTTATATACCGCTTCATAGGCCTTTCAGCCCTCTCTAAGCAGT